TGAATGAACTTGCGACATCTGCGGATTTCGAAGACAAGGAGGAGGACGAGGAGGAAGATGAAAAGGAAGAGGAGGACGACGAAGCTGAGGAAGAGGAGAAAGAGGAAGCCAAGGAAGACGAGGAGGAAGCCGAGGAGGAGGAGGAGGAAGACAAGGAGGAAGACAAGGATGAAGAGGAGGAGGCGAAAGCCAAGGAGAAAGAGGAGGAGGAGGAGGAGGAAGACAAGGAGGAAGAGGAGGAGCAAGAGGACGAGGAAGAGGAGGAGGAGGAAGCCGTGGAGGAAGAGGAGGAGGAGGAGGAAGAGGAGGAGGAGGAGGTGGAGGTGGAAGACGAGGAGGAGGAGGAGGACAAGGTGAAAGACGAGGAGGAGGAGGAAGAGTAGGAAGAGGAGGCTCACCTTAGTGATGGGTAGAGGAGCAGCTCCTGGTGATGGCTCCAGCGACGGTGGCTATGGAACAACATGGCGGGGCAGCAGGGCAGCGAGCAACAGGGCAACGAGCGGCGGGCCAACGAGCAGCGGGGCAGCGACCAGTGGGGCAGCGAGGAGCGGGGAGGCGGGGCAGCGGTGCTGTGCGATTTCGAATTCAAAATTAACCCGATCTGGGAGATCGATCTTGGTGGACCGACGGCCCAGACCGGGCCCTTTTTTTCGAAATTTGTGGGTCTCACTAAGGATCTGCCACCATGAGGTGCAGCCCGAGGTTGATCAAAACCCCTTGGCGCCACTAGACCCCAAGAAGAAGCCCTGCGCCTATTTTGGGCGGAATGTTTATTTTCGGGTTCTTCCGGCCCGGGGGTGCTTTTTCCAGCCGGATATTCCGGATGGTCCTGGGCCATCCGGATATCCGAAAAAAAAACTTAGGTATTTATAGATCTCGGTCCTGAAATTGTTAATTGTTGATATAAGTTGCCTTCCCATAGCGACCCAGTCCACCACATCCGCATTTGGGAACTCTCCACCACAAGCAACACTCGACGACTGTACATCACCGCCCTTCGTATTTTTTCCCAGTGAAGAGGGGGGATGGAGATCTGGGCCGGTTTCTCATGATTATTTCGTCAGTAAGAAATTCCAGTCTTTGTTTGACCTGACAGTTTGCAAATATTTGTTTTGGGGCCAGAATGGGGTGAGACGCGGGTGACCCTTCCGGTTGTTGCTGACTTGGTGGAAATGGTTGAGGCTGTTGAAGGCCGTGAGTCTGTGAGATGATGCCGGACTCATGTCCATGAACCCCCCCTGTTGGAGGGCTCCTTCCACCAGCCTGCCCTGGGGGACCCCGGGTCGGCTGTCACCGGCATTTGAAAGTCCCCGTTCAGGTCTCTTCACAGTCCAGGATCGACTTCCATCTCTGGAGTCAATTCCTGCTGGGGGTCCCACGAGGAGGTCAGTCTTTGTTCAAAGTCCGCTTGACTTCCGTCCCGTGGTTCCAGTGCGGGAGGCAAACTCTGTGTAATCCCCAATTGGCGCTCATATCGTCGTTCGTTGGTCAGTATTCCAGCACAGTGATTAGGCAACATGGTGGCAGGGGCAGGCCCTGACTCCTGCATCAACATGTGTTGAGATGCCCGTATGTGAGCCTGTGTTTTTGTAGGGCCATGCCCCTGCATCCGGGGGTTCGAGTGCTCTGTAGTCAGGGAGGGGTTGCTCGTGGCGTTGTCCTCCCGATGCTGCTGCTGTACGCCTGGAATGGTTCAACGACGGGGTGGCAAAGCTCCGAGACAGGACCCAAAAGTATGCAGTCAAGCATGCCAGAGACAAGAAAGCCATACTGGAACGATTGCTGCTTGACCTGGGGGATTGGGATGAGCAACTTCATCAAAAACCCCTAGATCTGTGCATCTTTAATAGACTGTAGGCAGCAAGGGAACTGTTGCAGGAACATATGGACTATCAAGCTAATGCATGGAGAATTCAGGCCAAAATAGAAAAAGATCAGGTGGACGGGACGATGGCCAAAGCCTTTTTTGCCAAAGCCAAAGCAAGGTCGAGACCAAATACGGTTGCTGCACTGAGGCATCCGTTCCTCCCCAACAAGGCCGTGGCTAGAAACGCTTACCAGATCCTGGGTCTTACCCCTTACGAGACCTGCGGAGCAGCAATCTGGCCCACCAGCGCAGGCACAGCAAAGGGTGGTAGCTCAGTTGCTAAGAACTGTGGCGTTGTGAGAACGAGGCTGCCAGTTCAATTCCAATGGGGCCCCATCCTCTCCTTTGGACTCTCAGTTGGCATTCAATTTACACCACTCATGCAGAGTCATGCTTGCCGACCAGTGCTTTTCCCAGCTATTCTGCCTTCTGTCATTAGGGTCATCGTCAATGAATTGGTCATCATGCGGCAGGCCCATACATCCTGGCGTGTTTACGGCCGCATCCCTCGGAAGTGTTGGGGGTTCAGCACAGCACACATACATACATGATACTACACACATGGAATATTAGGGGATATTAGGGTCATTGTGAATGCCATTGGACTCGTCGTCACGCCGCAGGCCCATACATTCTGCCGCATTTACGGCCTTTTCTTGGGAAGTGCTGGTGGCTCAACACAGGGAAAATCCATACATGATACTACACCCATGGAATAGTAGGGGATTCGGAGGACTGCCTGTTGGGGAACTAGTATGAGATGGCTGGGTGCTCCTAGGGGGTATAGGGTGGGTAGGAGCCATCAAGAAAACATCCCCCTTCAGAGGAAAAGACCTCTTGCCTTGACCTACCTCACTGCTTTACTTGCCTACTATGACTGTTGTCCTGTAGGTGGCCTGAAATGTTGGTGCCCGCTGGACTGGTTCTCGTTGTTCCTTAACGACCAGCACCTTTGGTTTAAGGTGGGGGAGTAGGGTGTGCACTAGGGAAAAATGCTGAGGTTGGACGGGAGTGGGCTCATGATCAAAACAAACAAAAAGGAAGAAAACCCTCAAGGAAAATTGCTGAAACCATTGAGCACATCTTTCTGCAATGCCGGAGTTCCCATCTTGACATGGCTTTCAACTACGTATTTCAGAAGGGATGCTGAGTCCAGTTTTCAGTCAGCACGTGATGCTCCCCATAAATAGATCGGAGCCTGTGTGTTTAATGTTATTAAAAGAAACAAACAAAAAAAAAACGACATGGCGGTGGTGGGACAGAATATGGGGCTCACGAGAGTAATTTTGTGGAAAACGTGTCCAGAACAGGGAGGCGGGCGATTCCATACCAGGGCTCTATGGTGTGTTGTGGTAATGGAGGGGGCTGGAGTGGATGGGGAAGAACTAACAGAGCAAATCAAACAGCAGATCCAGCCAGGTGGCAGATCATGAAGAACAAGCCAGACCTCAAAGACAGCAATGCTCGCCTGGCGGGCCCGCTGCTCGTTCGAAAGAAACCAGCACACCTTCACTGCCCCCCAGGCAAAAGAACACCTGTCACAATACCTGGTTGGAAGGGTCAGAGCCGCGTGGGACAGGACCAGCCAACAAATCGTAAAATTGAATGAAGACATATCTCTCACAACATCACAGAAGCGACAAAAACAAAATGAATTAATGAACCGCTTCACAGAACAGTGGTTGGTCCTAAAAGGGTCGTGGCTGATCTCCGCGACTCCCGGCTGCAATGGAAGAACTGGAGGACGGACGAGAATGCATGGCCGCTCAAACCTTACTCCCACTTCTCGATCCCCTACAATGCAAATCCCCCATCTTTTATCCTCCTCCCGGGATGAACCCCTCAGTCAGATACCATCACTTCCCCGTCCCTTCCCTCGTTGGTGACAGGAAAGGGTGGCAACCAATTGAAGACTTTGGACACCATAACGACAATGCTGGGGAGATGTGGGCTCGATTGCTGAAAGGGACGACTCTTGCATTGATTCTGACATCAGCAGAAGGGTTTGCCTGCCCTGGCCAGGAGAATTGGGTCAGTGAAGGATGTCCGCATAGAAGGGGCCAAGACCACAGTCACTGGACAGGGGCGACTCGAGCGTGGGTGGGCACACAGACCGGAGACCAAAGGGAAGGTGGAGAAGGGAGACAGATGGAAGACTGCAATGCACTATACACCGGGCCTGCTCTACGCTTCGAAGGAATACCCCACATCAGGCTCCGCTCAAGACACACAAACTGTGCTGGCCCAGCATGGTTTCAAGGGAATGTTCTGCCTTCTGCTGTATACAATGCTCGCAGGGGCCAGAGAGGGTTGTGGGAGGGTTTAGGGTTTCGCCAAACTGCATGGTTTCAAGGGAATGTTCTGCCTTCTGCCGTATATCATACTCACAGGGGCCAGTGAGGGTTGAGGGAGGGTTTAGGGTTTTGCCAAAAAAGGGGTTTTGGTAGCCCGAAACAGGTAACAGACTGACATACAACACCCCCAACGGCCACGGAGGGTTTTGGGTTTTAATAAATTGTATTTCGGTAGCCTGTAACAGGTAACAGACTGTCATACAAGTCCTGCATGGGCCACCGAGGGCTTTTGGTTCAAATAAATAGTAATTGCAAAAAGGGTTTCTGAAATCCGAAATAGGAAACAGACCGACAGTGGCGAGTATATGATATTAGGGGAGAGCTGTTTCTTCAAAAAAGAGAACCAGCCTGAATATGTTCTGCAAACTGTACATCACTTACAATATCGGGGGGCTGCTTAACAGGGCTAATATTATAGCCAGAAAGGGTGCTCCGACATGGGTGGGGAGATTGTTGCAGCTCCTAGGGAAAGTCCGGAATGCCCCGGGTAGAGGATACAATAGGTTCATAGCCCTGTTAAAAGAACTGTTAACTCTGTGCCTCATGTTGTTCAAAAGGGACGCTGGGCCCGTTTCTCAGCAGGTGTAGCTCCCCACCAATAGATGGAGCGGCCCAACTGGGAAACCCTCAATCCTGGCGGTTCTCTCACCACCGCCGAGATAGTGGGTTTTCGAAGGGCTTTTGTTTAAAAAAAACAAAACAAAAAACAAAGACAGCAAACACACTGTTTCACAATTCCTTAAAACTGGCTCGATGGGGATCGGGGAGGGTGGATAGCATTGGTGGTCTGGAAACGGGATATGCGATCAGAATAACAGCAAGGATCACAGGAGGATGTCCAGTTGATGTAGCTCAGTGGTTAGAGCACCGGCTGGAAATGCGCATTGTGGTATGCGGTTGCAGGTGCAAATCCTCAGCCTTGAGCATGGACACCGGCAGGGCGTTAGAATGACTCACGGCTGGACACACACCTTGGGCTGACGCATCGTAAGGGTTGTCCACTGTGTTGTATGTCGGGTCTTGATACTGAGTGGGTTGCTTGTTGCTGTTGCTCGTGATTGTTCTGTTGATCTCCCCAGTCTGGCATATCACACTAAGGTGCCATTTGCGATTGTTGCTCAAATGGTAGAGTCTTCAGGTCACACGTCATAGATCATGGGTTTGAGTCTGGCTTGGGACTTTGGGGGGGTTCTTGTGCAGCTTGGCCTG